TCTCCAGTGGGGGGCATGCAGGAGGCAAGCTGATTGATGTTTCTCTCTCATTGATGTTTCTATCTCTCCCTCGCCCTTCCTCTCTCTCTAAAATCAATAAAATATATTTTTTAAATGGGGATAATAATAACACAGCTACCTAATGGAGTTGGTGTACTAAATAAGTTAATACATAAAGGGCTGAGATGAGTACATCTTAGTTTTTATGAGGCAGATGCTTAGAACAGCAAACAAAAACCGTTGCTAATATTCCACTGAACCCAGACATGTAAGTGGGAGCTAATAGGGTAGGTTGTTTAAGTGGCAGGCCGGAGACAGCCTTCCTTTGGTATCATCCTCCCGTCAATACCGTGGCTCATTCCTGCCTGTGACTGACAGCTCCTATGTGCTCCTCTTCATCCACAGCCCCAATTAGGAGAGGCAGTGATGTTGCTCAGATTAAACCACCCAATAAAGCAATGGTTCTTGGCTGAGGGTAATAGATTTTGTGCCCACTCCTCACCCCTTCCCCCCCGCCCCCAGTGACATTTGGAAAAGTCTGGAGACATGTTGACTGTCACAACTGGGGCAAGGCGTCCTGGCCAGGGATGCTGCTCAACATCCTCCAGTGCACAGCACTATCCAGTCCCAAATGTGAGTGGTGTCGCTGCTGAAACCCTGGCCTGCAGGGAGCAAGGGGAGTGGAGAAAGGGAGCAGCGGGTGGGTGAACAGGACGCCTGGCCTTTCCCCCACTACGCTGGGTCTCGGTGGGTTCAGCTCAGGTTACCAGATCCAGGCTGTCAGACCCACAGCCAGAGTCTAAACCAAGGTGGGGAACCTTTTTTCTGCCAGGGGCCATTTGAATATGTACTAGTATAACATCATTTCGGGCCATACAAATTATCAGTATGGGGCGCGGCTACAGTGTTTTGGCCAGGTTCAAGCCTCGGACTAATGAAAGGACAGCGTCCTCTCATTGCCACGTGCAAGTCCCAGCTGGAGGGCAGGGCCCTCCCAGCACAATTATAGCCAACAGCTATGATTGTAAGCTTGAACCTATGGGCCGAACACGTGGCCCCACCTGCCTTGTGATAGAGTTCGGGTGCATGTAGTTGAGTAGCGTTGGAACTCACGAGAATGCTGTGAACAACTTGATCACGCCCCTACTTTGCCTCATGGCATCTGCTATAAAATAAAGACACGGCTTGTGGGCGCTGGTGTTGTCTCCTCAGCAGGGAGCAGCGTCCCACCAAGACCCAGCTTTCATTCTCTTGTCTGTCTTTTCTCAATCCTTTCACCCCCTCCCCTCCCTGCCGCACTCAGGATCACCTTTGGCACACCAAGACCCAGCTTTCATTCTCTTGTCTGTCTTTTCTCAATCCTTTCACACACACACACACACACACACACACACACACACACACCCCACTCAGGATCACCTTTGGCCGTAACATATCAGCTTAGGAATTAGCCTGCTATGTTTGGTCAAACAATTCATTAACTCACCCCGAATGCCTTGGCAGGGCCGACCCATGATTTCTCAGGCCTCATAGGGCCCTCAGGCAGGACGGTCCCCACTGCTGGTCTAAGGGACAGTCTCTCCTGTCCGTGGGCTCTTAGTACCATCCCCATAGAAGCCGAGCTCCCACTCCCTCCAACCTGAGGAACTAGGGACTGAGTTCCTGAAAGAGCTGCTCTGGAAACAGAACGTCCAAGGTTTTAAGAAATCTGGGCAGAAAGAAGCAATGCTTGCCTTTTCCCCACATTAGCAAATATACTACCTGTTCCTTCCCATAATGTGCTCTGTTTAAAGCGAGTTTCTCCTCTAAGCGCCAGGCCCCACATTCATTCCTGTAACTCAATGCCTTCTGTTTCCCCACATTAGCAAATACACTACCTGTTCCTTCCCATCATGTGCTCTGTTTAAAACGAGTTTCTCCTCTAAGCGCCAGGCCCCACATTCATTCCTGTAACTGGGCAACGTGTTTCTAAGGTAAGGAGGGCTTTGGGGTAAAAGAAGGGAAAGTCTGAGAAGCAACGTAAGATGGAAAGTTGTTCAGTAAAAAAGTAGGACAGAATGCTGACACGACTCGAATTGTCTCAGCCACGGCCTTCAGACACCGTGTAGCCAGCAGAGTGCACATGGCTTATTAACCATTTCTCATGCGTTGCAAATGAAATGCTATGCTTCTCTTATTTTACTGTGGTGTTTCACTTTTTGGTTGTACCAAAGTTGTGTATTAAATATAATAAAAAAGTAGGACAGAATGCTGACACGACTCGATTTGTCTCAGCCACGGCCTTCAGACACCGTGCAGCCAGCAGACTGAGTGCACATGGCTTGTTAACCATTTCTCATGCGTTGCACATGAAATACCATACTTTTGACCCTTCACTGATGGGTCAGCGACTTGCTGACAGCTTTCAGGGAGAGTTCTGGCATCCGGAGGAATGACCGTATTTTCCGCAGTTAGAAAGTCCCTAGTTAACGTGGGAATACACACATGTAAATCATCTGAAGACACTTTCCCTTTGCCATGGAAGCTCTTTCCTGCTGGGAGCCGGTCCATCCTTGCTGTTTCAAGGGACCTGGCATATATGCCACACTGTTCTTAATATGTTTGCTCACCTTCTTGGCACTATGTGTTTTAACCAAGGTCCCCTCTCCGAGAAAGGTTGTTTCCCCCGGTAGAGATTTTCCCCTGAAGTTAGGGAGGGAATAAAACCCCTTCACTAAGTGCCAGGT